AGGATACCGTAGTGATGGCAGATTCGCTAGACTTCTTGGGCCCCGTCCCTAATCCTCTCTCCCTAATGTGTAAAAGAGTTGCTACCCTTCCCTAGTTACTGTTTACTGAAGCCTTTTATTTTAATTTCAGTTACTATTCACCGGAGTCTTTGTTTCATTTAAGTTACTGTTTACTGAAGTCTTTTAGTTTAATTTCAGTTAATGTTTACTGAAGTCTTTTTGTTTAATTTCAGTTGCTGTTTACTGAAGTCTTTTAGTTTAATTTCAGTTACTGTTTACTGAAGTTTTTTTGTTTAATTTCAGTTACTGTTTACTGAAGCCTTTTTGTTTAATTTCAGTTACTGTTTACTGAAGTTTTTTTGTTTAATTTCAGTTGCTGTTTACTGAAGTCTTTTTGTTTAATTTCAATGACTGTTTACTGAAGTCTTTTTGCTTAATTTCAGTTACTATTTACCGGAGTCTTTGTTTTATTTCAGTTACTGCTTACCGTTTGTTTTTCCGCTCACTGAGCATTGCAGTGTTTTGTTTTGTTTAATGTCAGGTACAAAGCACCGAAGTGTTTTCTTTCTGTACATTCCACTGTCTGGTGAGGTGATAACGCTGATGGCCTATATCGCATTGTTTGAATCAGGTTGTTACTGGCATCATAAGATCGATCGATCGATCGATCAATTTGTAACCTCTTGGTTGTTTCCGGTTTCCTATACTATCCCGAGATGACACAATGTCAGTCTAGACGGCAGACCAAAAAGGTAGGTCTCAGTATCAAATTAACATTCATAGAAGTTGTAATTATGGCACCCGTAACGACTACACCAACCTGCAGTCCAGAACGGGTAAAAACATTACGAAAACGGGTTTTCTTTATTGTCTGCAAAAGAAGGTGGGAGAATTTGTCCGGCACGGTTGCGTTGATTATCAAAAAAATAATGCATCCATTCCTTTATTCAACGAATTCATGGAAACGTTTCCTAATAAATTCAACTAAAATCCCCCCCCCCCCCTTTTTCAAGGAGAGGGACGCAGAGCTAGAGGTAGACTAAGAACTATATGAAAGGATAACATCAGAGAAACTCTACAGTACCACGATATGTCTTTGGTCGAAGCAGCCAGAAAAGCACAAAGCAAGACCTTATATCTCCCTCGACACTTGAAGCGGTAAAAAAGGACGTAAAGAAGAAGAAAAAGAAACAAATTCAACTGTATTATTATTATTATTACTATTATTATTACTATTATTATTATTTGAAAACAGACCACCTGACAGTAAATTCTAAACCGAACGTTGCTGAGATAAAACGCTATGTGCTGAACTGGATTGCGTCCATGGTAGCTACAGGATTGCACAGGATACAGCCGAAAAGACGACTAGACTGCGAGCCACGCATGATGTAAATCGACAGTCAGTAAAAAAAAAGGCAAATTAAATCATTACAATTACGTTAAAGAGTTGAACAACTTGAATTTCTGTATACATAAAAGTTTAAAATTGAAGATAAGCTTATTTAATATTCTTCAGCGGTGTGTGGCTACCAGACAGGACATGTTTCTATCAATGTGTTTTTAAAGATCATTTTCACACCAGTTATGTTCCCGGAAATAGTGATAGTTTAAAGCCATCTACGTGATCACCATAATCACGGATTAACGTCAGTGTTCTTGTCTTGCCCACGTCATGTGCTCAAGCTATCCAAGCGTTGACATCGATGTCTTTCCTTTACTCTGTTCCATCAATTTTCCTTGGTCAAGCTTTGACCTTTAACTTAAGGTAGGTTTGAACAACAGATCAACATCATGGCACACAGGTAGTAACCCGTAAAGGCTCTGTTCTTCTTCTAACTCGAGTCCAAAGATGCTTAGCACAGTGCACAGGATACTGAAATACTTCTGGAAGATTTTTGACTCTAATTTTTGCCCAGGCAGCGCCGTTTGGCTACTCTTTTCGATTCCAACTGCCGAATGGATTTTTTTTTTTTTTTTTTTTTTTTACGTGCGCAACAATGCACACGGGAGTCTGATCTCACTAACCAGAGAATCAGGGGAAATTACTAAAAGTCAAAGTCCACGTGAAAAAATCCTAACCCTTACCGAGGATTGAACCATGAACCTCAATAACTCAAGGCGGACACCAAACCTCGAGACCACGCAGCCCCCTTTGACTATTCTCAGGAAACACCATAGCAATCATAACAGTCAGCGAATTCACTAACAACTTTACGAATTAATGTTTTTGTTTTTATTGTCTCGTTTATTTTGTTGTTATTGCTGTGGATTTTAATATTATGCAGGCACAAACAATACGTTGCACAATTTCTTGTCAGGCATATTTAGCAGTTTCTCCTCAGAGCATTTTTACAAATTTTTATCAACATATACTAAAGCACACAACCTGAATCAATTCCACTGTTCCCCGTGTTAATTCCGGGGCCCTATTATAGGGAACTTGTGAAAAGACCCACTGCCTACCCTAAAGCATGTCGTATGATTCGACTAATTGGGAGCTTCCTTTGAAGTCGGAGTGCATCTGCCTGAGAGGCAAGGATCCAGCAGTCTGCGTAGAAAGGAGTTAGATAAGTAAAACGGATGCACACGCAACACTGAGGTTTTGGAACATGACTGCAGTCCAAAAGTGGATGAACAGCCATAACTTTTCGCCAGAGTTTACAGCTGGTGAACACGAAGAGGAAGAAAATGTCCATTTTAACACTCATCACGTGGTCTCTCTAGATGCACTGCTCGTCCACTTACTGGAGGTTTACGATAGTCACGTGACCTACCAGGGTAATTCCCAGTTTGGCTATCCTTCGAATAACGGCAACATACTATGGCGCCCCCCCCCACCCCCCCCCCCCCCCCCCAAAAAAAAAAAAAAAAAACTCACTGACAGTGCCTCAGTCACATGTAAATTGTGGACTTCCGGCGTCCTAAATTGCCAACTTCCAGCGACTACCGCCACGGCCGAGGGGATGCGGAAGCTGCTGCTCGTCTCAGCCATTTAGTTCAGCCCCGCTCCGCGCCGCAAATGACTTAGGCCCTGTTTTTGGGCCGCCATAACATGTAGCCGTTATTCAGAGGATAGCCCAGGTTTAACGCTTTTTTTTTAAAGTTGACATAAAAAGTGACTTATCATTTTTATTGTCAAAGCTTTGTCTTGTTTAAGCATTAGCGTGCTAAGTGTGTGGTAGCACGTAAAGTACTTACTGTCTTTGTCACTTACATGTTTGGAATCAAGCAAATTACGTCATGAAGAAGAGACAGCTTAATTTTTTTTTTAAGGGAATTACTTAGCTGTGCTTGAGCCACGAGTGTATGTTTTCCACTCTGCTTTTAAGTTGTCTCTCTGTTTAACTAATGTAAGTCATGAGGCACTCAAATTTAAATTATTAAACAGATATGTAAACATTGATTGGTCAGGTCATGTTTTTTTTTTTTTTTTTTGTTCTCCGTATGAACCATACCTTTACTGCTATTAATTGTTCTTGGTACAAACCATACCTTTACTGCTATTAATTGTTCTTGGTACAAACCATACCTTTACTGCTATTAATTGTTCTCGGTATAAACCATACCTTTACTGCTATTAATTGCTTTCGGTATAAACCATACCTTTACTGCTATTAATTGTTCTCTGTATAAACCTTCCCTTTACTGCTATTTATTGTTCTTGGTATAAACCATACCTTTACTGCTATTAATTGTTCTTGGTATAAACCATACTTTTACTGCTATTTATTGTCCTCGGTATAAACCATACTTTTACTGCTATTTATTGTTCTCGGTATAAACCAGACCTTTACTGCTATTTATTGTTCTCGATATAAACCGTACCTTTACTGCTATTTATTGTTCTCGGTATAAACCATACCTTTACTGCTATTAATTGTTCTCGGTATAAACCAGACCTTTACTGCTAATAATTGTTCTCGGTATAAACCATACCTTAATTGCTATTTATTCTTTTCGATTTTAACCAGACCTTTACTGCCAATAATTGTTCTCCGCATAAACCATACCTTTACTACCAATAATTGTTCTCTGCATAAACCATACCTTTACTGCCAATAATTGTTCTCCGCATAAACCATACCTTTACTACCAATAATTGTTCTCCGCATAAACCATACCTTTACTACCAATAATTGTTCTCCGCATAAAACCATAACCTTTACTGTGTTCTCCGCATAAAACAATACCTTTACTACCAATAATTGTTCTCCGCATAAACCATACTTTTACTGCCAATAATTGTTCTCCGCATAAACCATACCTTTACTACCAATAATTGTTCTCCGCATGAACCATACCTTTACTACCATCAACGCTTTGTGACAGTCATCCCCTTGTGGGATGCAATTTTTTGGTTATTTTGAATCCCCACTCTGGCTTTTGCCGGGGGCCCTAAATATAGCCGGGCCTCAAATATGGCTTAATGGCTGAATGGGGTTTCCAGTACCTCTCCCCTGGTGATCGTCATCCGCATGGTGGCACTTTGTGTCACTGTGTTTATCGCTTGCGTGATGTCCTGGTGGGGTACAACTTACCTACCTATTGCCATTAAGTGCTGTTCAGCCTATCTGCTGACTGTCCATAATTCACTTGCATATACTGCAGGGACTCTATAGAATTCTAACACTCTTTTCTCACTGCAACAAATATCTCTTTGCAGGTAAATATGTATATAATGGGAGCCGTGATAGCGTAGTAGATAGAATCTCTACTATCGAGCCAAAGGCATTGGTTCGAATCCCCATTAACTCTCAAGTTGTTTTACTCAAAATTGACCGTTTCTCCAAAGCCTTAAATAAGTACCGGGCTACTGCCCTGGGAAGTAAAAGTTGTCCGCGTGATGTTGGCCGCATTACACATGGTGCCGCTTGTTCTATACCATTGTAAGTCTAGCACCATATTCTACATGCGTTAGCTGATTTAAAAAGGGTTGCTTACATACTGACTAAGTTTCTAACATACAACAGAACCACTGAAGCGAGTATGTTTTGTTA